TATTCGAACGAGTTCGCGAACCAGCATAATCGGACCATGGGAACGGGGGTTTATGGGGGGTTTTATGGGATAAAAATGGGTTTTTCCCATTTTTTACCCTGAAAACAAAAAAATTTGCAATTTCTTTTGAAACCGTTTTGTAGAGCTTAAAAAAAGAAATAATTTAGTATATTGAAGCGCTGTTGTATGCCTAACGGTCACGGAGAAAATTCAAAAATAGTGTAATTTTAAATTCCCATGTTATTCTTATGGTGAAAATGAAAACTGTTGTAGTTTACTTGTTTATGGATATATGTTGATAAAATTTGGCAAATTTATTTATTTTATTTATTTATTTATGGTCAAAAAACACTTTTTACCTTCCCCGTAGCAGCATACCTAAGCACTCGTTAAATCTAATGTTATTTAAATTGGGAATAGCCTAAATATGTCATGGAAATATTTTATTAATAATGTAATCAGACAAGTTGAAATTCGCTTAGTCTGCAGGTTTGCTGCGGCGGAGGTATTTTTATTATGATATGTATAATAGTAGTTATTACATACCTGCATAATCCGTTTTGATGTCTGCTCTATTTAAAATACAAATTCCAAAGGACATGCAGTGTGTTTATAATACAACTAAGGAACAGTTTCCAATAACAATCTTCATGACTAGTAATTAAACATATATAGATTTCTTAAAATATAGACAAATTCACTTAGAAAAACACATATAGAGATAATGTCATCATCCAAATTGTAAAATGCTAATTCTATAACAAAATCTCTCTGAAACAACATTTGTTGTATAGTATCCATTTTGGTCTATTCCTTGGCCTTTATTTGGTTCTAGTACTATTAACATCATCTACTCTCTTTACCCATCTAAAAGCAACATAAAGTTGACCATGGGTAAACACTGCGATTTTCAAATAAATGCCAACTTTTGTGAAGGTTCGGCCTTGCGCCACAATTTCACCAAATCAAATTGCGCAATGCACCACAATGAATACACCCATCGTTCATTGGCCCTGCGCTGTGTAATGCAATCTCATTTAAAAGTGGTAATCTACAGGAATAACTTCATGTTCATCCGATGCTCATTTATTCTTCTTCCATTAATATGGTGCCAAATCTGGCGCCTGTAGTTCTCATTTCGAGGAACAATACATCTGAGTGGTAGTCTTCGACATTATACATTACTACTGTGCAAGCCATTGTGTTAAGTATTAAGTTTAAAAGTATCAAATTGTTTGTTCAAAAGATTTTATCTAATTTTCACTTTGTGTTGTTTACTACTTCACTAAAAATTTTACAATAACAAAATAATGCACATTCAGGTGTGGTTATATTTTTTCAATTTATATAATCACAGCTATGTTTGCACTAAATAAAAATACATCAAATTAGATTCCCATGCTATTTAAATGAGAATTGTTTTATTCCGTAACAACCTGTTGGTGCATAATTAAGAAAAATGAATCATTTTCCCCAAAATTTCATGCCCAGACCTTTAAAATGAGATCCCTCCCAACATTCTACGGCCTCCCGTTCGCTCACAATTTCATTGTAAAATTTTGGGCTTAACACGTTGACTGCTAACGCCGACTCTAGTCTAGCACTTCAATGTGGCCACGCCGAAAAACGTCGGCACCAGACCAACAGAAATATATTGAGTCAATGTGAGCTTAGCCTCAGACGGAGACGTTATAATCGTTGCCAGCCTGCCAGCTTAGAATGCGAGCTTTACTTTGGTGTAGGTTGGTACTAAAATTTCCCGTAAAATCCTGTCTGGCAATGCTTTTGTCCCGGTTTTGGGGATTTTTTCTCTTCAACCCACATTACAAAGACACTGGATACGGATCCGTGCAGTGCTGCTACCTTTGGGTGTTTCAGTGAACTACATCCACTCTCGGGGTAACGCAGCACAGTCACCACTGCTCTTTTGTGATTCGTCAGACTGAAATATATGAATGCCAATTGCGTTCGCTGATTCGGTTGCGTGCCGGGGCTTCGCCCGCCACTGGGGAGCGCCTGTACGTTGTTTTCAGCAGTCATCGTGTAAAGGAATTAGATATATAGATGATGAAGTTTACAATACAAAGTAAAAATTAACAAAAGCAATAAATACAATTATTTTATTCAAGTAAGGATTGATATTTTTCCATGGTTACAGTGCCTATTATTTTTTCTTTTTTTACTTTCGTGTAGATATTTAACAAAAAATATTGCTCATTCTTAAAATAATTTTTAATACTATTTCCTTCAAATTTATTCCACAAATACAAACAGTTTCAGCTATTTCTGAAATATTGATATCTGACATAAAAACCACTGACGCTAAAAACCAGCCAACACAGAAGAACAACTGCATGCTAATTATATATGTTGTCGCTAATTTTAGTTATTCGCTAATTCCACCTATTCGCTAATTCCACCTAATTCAATCAAGATGGTGGTCGCCAAACCACTATTGGTTGATGAGCGCTAAATTAAAAGTTTCCGGCAGCCCCGCCTTCCGATTGTCTGTTACAAGAATATTATCAATGGATAGTTAATGGTTGCGCAATAACAGAATGAATGATGAAATATTTTTATTTCTCATAATACTACATAATAACGTGTAAATAAAAAACACATACTTAAAATTCATAACAAACTTATTAAAGCAAAATTATTAAAACTAAAATGAAAAGGCATTTTTGTTTTAGGCTACGGTATTTAATTATGAAGACATTAAGTAGTACAGCATTTGATACAAAAGTATTATTCTTGTGGATAACCAAAAGGCATATTAACCTGCTTGAAATAATTCAGTTGGCCTACATTAATTAATTATTAGCTATGCGATACTACACTGCAGCTTGCGAGCAGTGATACTCGCCGCACCACGCCATAAAACTGAGATTTAGTCGCTCTGTTCAACCCAAAATTTTAACAAAACTAAGCATGATAGAAAGAAAAGTTAAATACAAACAGTAAAGTATATTTAATTATCTACAACTTTCTCACAGACGAAACTTCTCTGACCAAGAAAAAAAATTTTAGTAGGCGACTAACTTTTTCACTTCACTTTTCCAAAAATGTTCTAAAAAATGTGTCTGTTATGTGTTTTTATAATTAAATAATATACATATATGCTACCAAACAAAATTTTAATTTTCAAAACCATACCATTGACATGAAGGGTTTATTCCCTAGCTCTGTACCAAATTTCAAAATTTTATCTCAATTGTAAGGGTGTAAAAATGCTGTATATGTAAACTGCGACCACTAGTTCCGTACTACCGTAATGGTGAAATGGCCAGAAGTTAATGCTCAGTGCGACGTTGCCAATTCTTGCTGGCCGCGGCCCATAGTTAAAAGGGGGCCGTGGCGGAGCCCAAAAGGATTTTTGAAATAAGGCTAGGCTTATAATTGGGAATATGGACTATTAATCATAATGCAAAATTTCAGCCCAATCCAACCAGTAGATAATGTGTGATTGAACTTCAAACAAACAAACAATTAAACAAACACACAAACTTTCACATTTATAATATTATTATTAAGCATGAAGTATGACTAGTGTACCTGTTGCGAATTTGAGCAATTGCTAAACAGGCGTTATTTTAAAATCGAACAACAGTCATAATTTCTGGTGACTTTAAAAGATTTGAATCAAAGTTTATGGAAATACTAAAAGATGTACATAACAGATCGATATAATCAACATTTCTTGTAAATATCTTAATATTTTTCAAAAGCTGTTCTTGTTTTTTGGCGTTTTGTACAAATAGCCTAACTCATAGCCACATTAGGTTGTCCACAATAATGATTATAAATTCTAAAAAAAACATTAGCCTATTTCTAATTCTTCTCCTTGGTGGTGTTCTATGACTTTCCTATGTTTCCACAGTTTGCAAATCGGCTCTTTCAATGATTACTAAAAAATACAGCACAGTGTTAATTCAGTGTTCTTTGAAGTACCTATATCAAATTATCCAGGCTCTCTCGCTTTATTCCATTGTAATATTTACGCCAACCCAAATTCAAATAGAAAATATTTCATTTCAACCAAGTCAGTAAATGTTTGTAGCAAACTGTTAAATTAGCAAACTGACTGTTTAGGCCTACAATTAACATATGTTCTTCTTCTCACTTTTAATATCTGACAACAGCTGGAGTTTCGTAACAATGTTTGTTTCCCATGTTAATCTTATGGAGAAATACGAAACTTTAAAGGACCCCAGGGCCTCACTCTCAAATTATTTCCATAAAAAGAAAAGTTCCTGCACAACTTCTTGTTACTCTCTTTCCAATGACACCAAAAACATGTCAATCGGTTCAGTAGTTTTGTAGGAGTAATTGTCACAAAAAACTTGCTTGCGTATTAAATAAGTACTAGTGCACCTGTTGCTCGAATTCGAGCAATTGGAAAATATTACAGGCGTTCAAAACTAATTACAGTCATAATTTCGGATGAATTAAAAGAGTCAACTCAAAGATTATGTAATCAATCACTCCACCCCAGTTATCGAAACTGCAAAGGAACTCACTCTGAAAACGAAAGCTCTTGTGTGTAAGTGTATCATGTGTTTACTATGAACAGCTGTAATTAACACAAATAATTTGTCTGTTTAAGTAAACAAAATGTTTTCTTAATAAGAAATACTTAATAAGAAAAGAAAGAAGAAATTCTTAATAAGAAATAAAGAAATGGGATTTTGATGGCCTGTGGGGCAAAGCCCGAGAACTTTTATTACAGGAATTGGTGAAAGGGGGTGTCTACACAAAAAATACTTAATTTTGACACATCGTTTGTAAAAATCTGATCATTATTAACGGAGTAGTAGTGTTTCGTAGAAATCGCCTTTGCGTATTATATATAAGCATGTAGATTAGTTATATGTACCCCACAGTCATTGTTGTAATTGGTGATAGATATGTAAAATATTCCTTATCACAAAGGTTTAACTTTCTAACATTGCCTCTGTTTGTTCCATTGCTAGTTATACATGAATGAAAAAATTACTTACATTGTGTACAGCGGTTGCACTGTACTCTCCATGAGAAGTTTACATTGTGGCAGTTATCACACGTCCAGTCATCATCTCGCTCTTTAAAACCTGAAAATATTAGAAGAAAATAAAGTATTGAATTTTGATGTAAAACATCTTTTCAGGAAAACAGAAGGCAATAGTAGGCCTTAATCTGATATCGTACACTAGACTGTGGTAGGATAGTCTTAAATTTTTAGTGATTAAATGATTAGTACAGTGCAGTGCAATTAGACCTAAACCGGGACACCAAAAAAAAAGGTTCCAAACCAGCGCCAAATTGTTAAATACACTTCCCTCAATATGTAAAAAAAGTTACACTGATTTGAGTGTCGGGTTAGGGGGGGAGGGGGTGAAAATGGGGTGAAAATAGGACCTTTTTTACTTTTCCACAAATTACTCCAAAACGATCCATTTTTCTCAAAATACAATTTATTCATAAGTAATTTTGTAAATTGTTTTAAATAGGCTAATACTTTTCATTTTCCTTTTTAACACAAATATAATGACAATTTAACTAAATATGACTTACCAACCTGATAAGACAAACCTACCTAGATACGTGAACAAAGTGAACTTTCTACCGTTTGAATTCTTAAGTGTGTTTTATCATTAGCCTAATCAGTTATTAAGTGAATATCCGTGTTACAATAGTTATTAAGGAACGCGGCAGCGTTCCGCCCCGCCAAGTCCTCCAGCGGTACACAGCTGCTGCAGTGTATATATACATGACGTGACAAAGTGGCTTTTTTACTCGTCTATCGCTCTGAAGAAACAAAAGCTATTAAAAAAATTATTCATCTACTGGATAGGGGCACTCATTCTCAACAAAATAAAAAAAAGAATTTAAAAAACGGTTGTGTTTGAGCCAAGAAAAACTAGTTTGAAAATTCACAAATTTTCCGTGTTCTCCTTCTTCTCCTTGAATGTTGACGGACCTACAGCCCAAACCACTGGCTCAATTTTAATGTTTTTTATGTCGTTTGAAAGCCCTTAACGTGTAGATGTGCCTTTTGAGGGTCTCAAGTCGGTGCGTTGACCCATAAACCCTTGGCAAGCCCTGAAAGTACGATTTTGGCCCATTTAAATAACATGGAATTAAAATCAAAACAAAGGAAGGATCAGCTGTGATTAAATCTCAATTAATTTAAATGTTAGAGAAATTCATAGGAACAGCTGAAAAATTATTTTAAAACATTAATAAAGTATTTTTTCACAAGATGACCATTGATGAAATTTGAAACTGAGTTTAAGCCCAGGGGCCCATTTCATAATAAACTACAAGTTACAAGTTACAACTTGTAACTTGTAATTTCCATGAGATTTGCATTGGGCGATCAGCTGATTTACTAATAATATTAGTTTGTACTTTATTATGAGATGGGCCCCAGGGGGTTTGTTAAATAGTAATTTTGGTACGTGTGTCAAAAAGTTTTTAATCGGTTTAAAGCAGATAAGACCAAAAATGTAGAATTTAGCTCTACACAAACAATATTATAGAAATTAAATGAGATGTAGTTGTGCCGTAGTCTATATATCCGACAAATGGATAAGTTACAATTAGTATAGTTATGTAGATAGATATAAGTACCAATTATGGTTGGCTAAGTCAGGTAACAAGCGGGGAGCCTTTCTGGCTCACCCGACCATTGAAATGTAGGAAATCACAACTCAGTCGGTTGGTTGCCTTCTGCAACCAACCTTAACAAACATGAAAAACTAAACCACATGTTCCCAGAATGTAGCTTAGCAATTATCAATCAAATTTGTACATATTCATATACATATACCATTCAGTATTCAATTTACATATTATTTCCCTCACTCATCAATATTAGTAAGTAATTATCCAAGTTCAGTTCATAGTTGGAAGGATAGGTTAATACTTAAATGGTTAGTTCAATTAGTGCAAATCAAGATGGCTAGGCAAGTGTTCTGATCTGCTGGGTAAAAGGTCTCCGTCCCTCTGGTCCCCAGCAATCTTCCTAATTTTATTGGTAGCAGATTCAGCATGCTTAAATTAAGTTTGGTCCAGACACACCTATTCCTAACCTATTAGTATTACCCTGTTTATTCCCTCCTGATTACCCGAATTCCCACCGATCTCCCTTCCCGGTACCATACCATAACCCCGGTAATACCCCCACCAAACGGCCCCCCGGCTACAGTCGGGTGACTGTAGGAAAATATAAATTTTTTTGACCTGATATTGTTAATTCATTCAAACTTACCTATACAGATACTAATATAAACAGAGTGTCCCTTTACAGCCAAACTCCGGGAAATGGTTCTATGAATCAAAATAAAGAGAAAATCAAGTATAACATTTTTTCCAAAATCGCTTCGTTAACCAGATATCCACCATTTTGTTTGGTTATACCAGCTTACTTTTTTCACACAGTTTGTACATTGTCATGCGGTTTTGACTTTGTCGCACACCAGTATTCCAACCAAACAACACAAAACAGCGTGCTTTCATTATGCGTGTAATCCATGTTCGCTTAGAAATAGGTTTGCAACACTTACAAATATTACAATTACAATCAGCTGTTGCAGTGTTTCCCATTTCGTTCAACGATTGGATTTAACCTTACCTAAAAAGGTGTTGCATAGTGTTTGAAAGACTAATTATTTATATGATTTATAGTAACTGTTGGAAAAATATAACATGTAACACGAGTGCAAAGTGCCTTTGCTGCACTCGAGAAACCTTCCACACTCGCCTACGGCTCAAGCGTAAGCATTTCTTTCGTGTGAAGCAATGTGCCACTTTGCCCACTAGTTTTGTATGGTTATTGGTTACGGAGAAAATTGTAAATTAAAAATTCCCATGTTATTCTTATGGAGAATAAGTAAACTGTTGTAGTTTGCTTGTTTATGCATTTGGATCAAACTTGCCCAATCTATTTATTTTATACTAAGCTATTAATATTTTACTAAAAAACACTTTATTACCCTGTAGGCAGCAAACCTAGGTGCTAAACCTAATGTTATTTGAATAGATTTAATTGAAAATCAAATCAGGCAAATGGAAATTCGCTTAGTCTGCAGGTTTGCTGCGGCGGGGGTATTTTTGTTATGTCCCCGTTTGCTCTTTTTTAAAGCTAATTGCACTGTACTAGATCTTTTTTCTTGTGGTTCTGATGGTTGTTTATGACGTGTGCAAGTAGTGACGTCAACTAATACTTGAAGGGGGGAGCTATGAGGAGACAATATAGACAATAGACAATATTCTTTATTACATATTCATCGAGAAGTACCTGGGGACCGAGCTTTGCTCGGGGAAAATCATTAGTTTACTCTGAAAGCAGTTTAGTATTGCAGATACATTAATCCACTCCCAAATACCACACTGATCACCTTTACTACTTCCTTCACCACTCCCTCCGTTGTGGACCTGTTTGCCCTCCTTCCCTATACCATTTTAGAATTGCAAATACATAAATGCCACAGACAGTTCCCACACTTCGGACAGCACGCCTTGACTACTTCCCTCACCACTTCCTACGTCACCAACCTGTTTCCCTCCCTTCCCACGGCATTTTAATTTGCAGATACCTTAATCTAATCCCCATTAACAGTTCCCACACTCCAGACTGCTCACCTTTACTACTTCCTTCACCACTTCCGACGTCGCGGACCTGTTTCCCCTCCTTCCAACGGCATTTTAGGATTGTAGACACCTTAATCTAATCGTCATAAACAGTTACCACACTCCGGACTACCGTACTTGAATGTACTACTTCCTTCCCGACTTCCTACGTCGCGGACCTGTTTCCCTCCCTTCCCATAGCATTTTGGGACTATAGATACCTTAATCTAATTGTCATTAATAGTTCCCACACTCCAGACTGCTTACCTTTACTACTTCCTTCACCACTTCCTACGTCGTGGACCTGTTTCCCTCCCTTCCCATAGCATTTTAGGATTGTAGATACCTTAATCTAATCCTTATTAACAGTTCCCACACTCCGGACAGCTCGCCTTTACTACTTCCTTTACTACTTCCTACGTCGTGGACCTGTTTTCCTCCCTTCCCATTGCATTTTACGATTGCAGATACCTTAATCTAATCGTCATATACAGTTCCCACACTCCGGACTCCTTGCTTTTACTACTTCCTTCACCCCTTCCTACGTCGCGGGCCTGTTTCCCTACCTTCCCATCGCATTTTAGGATTGCAGATACCTTAATCTAATCGTCATAAACAGTCCCCACACTCCACACTGCTAGCCTTTACTACAATCATAGATAAAAAAAAGTCCTGCTACAATGTATCGAGTAATCTTCAGTATAATCTTTGCTCAATAGTAACAACTGATGTTTTTCCTTTTGTACTGTATTTTATAATTGCTAAAATACTGTGGATAGACTACTTACAAGTCTTTTGTTTACTTTTTCCTTGTTATTCAATTCAACCAACATGGTTACTTAGCAACCCATAAGACTAATGTTAAAAAAATGTGACTTTCAGTTTCATTTTTCTACGTAATTCGATTTTTGTTGGCATTTCTAAGTGCAGTAAACTCGTTTTTAGGCCAAAAATAAGCTATTTACAAGATTTGAAGAAAATCGTCGGAGCCGTTTTCGAGATCTTTCTGCAAGCAAGCAAGCAAGCATACATACAAGCAAACATTGCTCGTATTAGAGTATAGGATAGGCCAAAAATAAGCTATTGGCTGCACTTTACTTGACGTCCTACACTCTTTCGAATGAAAATATCGATCGATATATCGATTAATCGATTGCTTCATTCGATATATCGTTTGGTTAGTTAGGTAAGGTTAACCTAACCTAACTAACCAAACGATATTTATCGAATGAAACAATCGAATGAAAATATCAAATCGAAAAAAACAATCGAATGAGTGTAGGACGTCAAGTAAAGTGCAGCCAAGCTATTTAGAAGATTTGAAGAAAATCGTCGGAGCCGTTTTCGAGATCTTTCTGCAAGCAAGCAAGCATACATACAAGCAAACATTGCTGGTATTAGAGTATAGGATAAGTAGCCTACAGCGTCATATTTACAGATGGATTGTACAGAAACATTTCATTTTAAGGTCCTGAGATGAATTCTTTTTCGGTGTAGAAAGGTCTTTCTAGCAGCCAGTGTGTAAGTTTTATCTTAAAAGTGCATGAATTATTTCGCTGTTTAAGTTGTTCTGGAAGGAGGTTAAAGTATTTAGCTCCGTTGTACAGTAGATTGGTTTTCTTTCAGTAGGCCTAAGTGATAGCTTGTGGATTGGAAGGGTGAAATCTAATGCATGTCTGGTGTTGTGATGGTGTAGGTCCTTATGTCTGGTTTGTTGGGTATTGCATGTAGGATGGTTTGATGGATGTGGAGTGACACCATAGTGAGTATCTTTTGCTCTTTGAACGGTCCACGGCAGCTGTCTTGTTGTCCAATGCCAACCAAACACCTGTTGTTGGATGAGAATAAGTTCTAGGTTGAATGCAGTGGATCCTCTATGCCATATCACAGATGAGATTCAAAAAGAGCGAAATAGGCTACCTTCGCTGCATCTGTTCCACTTATTTGTTTTAACCCCTACAAACGCAAGTGGCTAAAGAATTATATTGTATAATGGTTCTATGTGAGGTTTCTATGTTAGTTTGGAGTCAATATAGTCATGCCAAGGTACTTTGTCTTGATTTCCTTTTCAGACCAGGTAGGGTGATGTCTGTGGTGGCACTTCTGTTGTTGAAAATAATTTGTACGGTTTTATTTTTGTTTAGAACAAGGTAATTTTCTTTGCAGTAACTTACTTAGTGTTTGGCCTCTAGTTGAAATGTGCTAGTGTGTCTCTTTCTAATATTTCCATTGATTTATTTGCAAGAGTGATGACTGTGTCGTCTGCGTAGATGACCGTATGACAGGGGCCTTGCAAATCTTCTGGCAGGTCGTTTGTCAGGAGTAGGAATAGTACTGGTCCCAGTCCCTACTGACCAGTGTTGCCACCCGTCCCGATTCTGCCGGGACAGTCCCGATTTCAGTTCCTTATGCCCGCATTTAAGCCTAATCCGCGAAGACTCTGTAGGAGGAGATGTATATTTTACCAGCGCCAATTAGATAAAACTAACATAAATTACTCATGTTATGCTTTTATTTTGCGAGGGGCTCCAACTTAGTAACTTAAGTGGAATGTAAGTTACGTCTAGTAATTTACTGATCAAAATGTAACTTACTAACTTATAATTCCTAAGTTACAGAGTCTTCGCGTCCTGATCAAGTTTAAGTAGGTAAGTATTACAAGTAGGCCTATCGCCCACAACAACAGATTTTAGTTTTCTGATGATAAGTCTCGGGAAATGAAAACGCCGATTTAATTATTTTAAGTTTAACTAGGTTACAATAATTTAACTGTAATTATAACTTATTTACTAAATAATACGTTTACAGTAGCCTACTTTTTAAACATGAAAACAAATAGGACAAAAATTATTCCAAAAACTCACTGTGTTTTCTTCCTCTTCCACTCATTCTCTGATGCCAACGAACTTATTTGGGTAGGCACTGCTGCATATGATACTCCTTCGTCGAATACTCAAATGAATAGGCTAGGGTAGATAGCAGGTCAATGGACTAGCCTTAATAAGCCTAGTCTTAGAGCACTAGCACAAGATGTAGGGCCTACCTACTACCTACTAGGCTACTACCGTTTGGAGTACAGCCCACAGAACACAAAACCAAATCTGGGTTCTGTGATAACAGAGGCTACACGTTGAGGTTTAGGTTTTGAGTTTACTCCAAGAAACTGGTTATGTTTCTGGTTAGTTAGTGGTTCTGGTTACGTTTTCATGTTGATGACCCGTTGTTGGCCGTCAGTGACAACGACAACGACAACTGAACTACTGACTGAAACACAGTGACAGTGTTGCCACTTTTAGGGTAATTACCCTTTTTTAGGGTAATTTACTAGTCTTAGGGTAAGGTTTAGGGTAATGGTAGATTTAGGGTAATTTTAGGGTAAAACAAAAAGTTAGCATAACAATGGAAATTTAACCAAAAACATGAAAAAAAACTTGAAAATTTGGCAAAAAACGTACATTACATATTAGGGTCTATCGCCGAACCGTAATGCGATTCAACCGGTTTAAATCAATGATATGATTCATTTTTCATAATAAGTTAAATCGATCTTATGAGTAGTGAATTATCTGTTTTAGATTGTATTTGATTCTATAACACATTTTAATAAAATATGAAATATTATTCATTACTTCTTGATATTTAATTATGTGATTGAATTGAATTACACTGGGATTATTTTACGAATTGTGTCAAAAAATTACCGCCAAGGCTTTTATGGTACCGTACTGTATTATCATAGATAAAACATACTCCTTTAGGTATTATAAAGGTATAATTGACCAAAAAAAGTATAGTAATGGGTCGATACAGTAAAAAATACGATAATTCTTGTCTTGATTCGATATTTTTCACACACCGTATACGATAGAGCGCTGAATATCAACATTTTTGTTCTTCTTTCGGGTTGTTTTTGAGAATCGAGTATAATTTTACGTATATTGATTGATATTGAAACCTTATTTAGTATAATTAAACACCTCATGTAAGATTTATATAATTTTAACAATGTTATATAGCATTAAACGCAAATATTAACGTTTAGGGTAATTTTTAGGGTAACTCAAAGTAGATTTAGGGTAATTTAGGGTAATTTTAGCCTGCCTTTAGGGTAAAATCGCAACAACGAGGTGGCAACACTGCACAGTGACAGTGACGACCACTGAGCTAAAAATTATAACTGGAGGTTAGCGACCGTCGTGAAGTTAGCGGCTCTTTTCATCGGCACTTTTTCGGATTGTAATTGATATGGGTTGGTACGCCTGCGGACGCCACAAACGTGTTTTGCAGGGATGTCGGAAAAACGATTCAATGACAATACGGTGCGAAATGATGTTTTTACATTTATAAAATGTCAATTATACCTTGATAAAACGTGTATACACGTTAAAACTAATTAATTGGAGTATTTTAAAGGCATATTTGAGACCGTATTGTACATTATACGTAGCTATGGCCTAACATAACGCGATCAATTAAAACAACGAATTATTCTGTAGTGCATAATCTTTTTCCTAAGCCCATCACATCAACTTTGAGCTACCCTAATGGTAATATACAATGTGTAGAATAATCAGTATAAATATGATTGAGGCAGTCCAGTAAATTACGAAGCTATAAGGCAAAATGTATATGGTTGATAGGATCTTGCATCGGGAAAAAGTGCACAATGTTGACCCTAAGCCCATCACATCAACTTTGAGGTATTCTAATGGTAATGTACAATGTATAGAATAATCAGTATGAGTATGATTGAGGCAGTCCCCTAAATTACGAAGTTATATGGCAAAATGTATATAATTGATAAGAACTTGCATCGGGAAAAAGTGCACAATGTTGACCCTAAGCCCATCACAAAAATCAGATCAACTTTGAGGTATTCTAATGGTAATATACATTGTGTAGAATAATCAGTATGAGTATGATTGAGGCAGTCCCCTAAATTACCAAGTTATAAGGCAAAATGTATGGTTGATAGGAACTTGCACTAGGAAAAAGTGCATACTCTTATTCCTAAGTCCATCACATCAACTTTGAGGTATTCTAATGATAATATACAATGTGTAGAATAATCAGTATAAGTATGATTGAGGCAGTCCCCTAAATTACCAAGTTATAAGGCAAAATGTATGGTTGATAGGAACTCGCACTAGGAAAAAGTGCATACTCTTTTTCCTAAGTCCATCACATCAAATTTGAGGTATTCTAATGGTAATATACAATGTGTAGAATAATCAGTATGATTATGATTGAGGCAGTCCCTTAAATTACGAAGCTATAAGGCCAAGTCTATTAGTCTAAGACTGCCCAGACTGGAAAGGCTAACTGGATATGAGTACGGCTATCGGTTACCTGGTGGGAGTATACCTATGATACATAATTTATTATGAGCTATCCAAAAATGTATAACAATATATATTTTAATTTTAATCTACAGTAGTGGACATGTAATTATTTCGTACAGTAGCTTTAATAAATAGAATTAAACTTTTCCAAGTCTATGGTTGATGTCAATGAGTGTATTATGTGTAAAAATTGAATGTAATTTAATTATCCTTCTGATGGTATAATTAGTTTGTGATATATTTATTTATATATGACCAACAGAAACCATATTTATTTTGCCATATAACTTGGTAATTTAGGGGACTGCCTCAATCATACTCATACTGATTATTCTACACATTACATATTACCATTAGAAAACCTCAAATTTGATGTGATACACTTAGGAAAAAGATTGTGCACTTATTCCTGACGCGAGTTCATATCAACCACCCAGACAGCACACTTTATCCCAGGGACATCCCATAGTAGTCCCATATGTCCTGAGAATTTCTCGGGATATGTACGCTATCCTCAGGATATCCCGCAAAATCCCGGGATGAGTACGAAATCCACAGGATATCCTACAATATACCGTAATGTCCCGGGATTTGTAAGTTAACCTCAGGATATCCTGTAAAGTCCCGGGATATGTACGAATGCCATAGGATATCCCAGAATGTCCCATGACATCCCGGGACATGTACAAAATCCACTGGATATCCTGTAATGTCCCGTAATGTCCCGGTAACAAACTGAAGAAAAAAAATACTACCACTGATGAAATTTATGTAGAATATGGTTTATTTTACCTTGCCTAAAATGATCCTGTGTAGTCGTCAAACACGACAGCTGTTTCGTGCTACAATGAGCACATCTTCAAAGTGAAGGAACACAAAATCAATAAAATGTATGTATCTAAATTTAAATGTTCAACAAGGCCAATATATAATGATTTGTTTTTTTCACTAGCGCTTTCAGAAACTAGGTTTCCATCTTCAGGCTGTGTTTACACTAGTACAAAAAGTAAATATTTACTTAATAAATTAATTTTAAACAAAGTTAAAACAGATGATTTAAAGGATATTGGAAAAATATAAAATAATATTAGAAAAATTAATCTTTTGAATTTTGGATATATTTTAGTGTTGTTCTTGATGTAATTATTTTCAGTAATTCCGAATTTATAATTGGGCCGCCTTCATTATTTAACAAATAATTTTGGTCTGTTTTTTTTTAATAAGATTCCTACGCATTAAGATGTTGAGGTTTTATAATTTATAATTTGTTTTATAATTTGTTTTAAAAGTTTAAGGTTTCCCAGATTGAAAATATGTCTTGTTAATACTGTGGCTAGCAAGGGCTGACTTAACTTTACTGACATATTACTACCACTGAGTTCAGGAAAACTAGAGTTCTATCATAGTTGTGTGAAGTGTGAATTTAATTCTAACTTTAAATTAATAAAACAATCAAAAACTTATTTTAATCATATAACAATCAATTATAACAGTGCTAATCTAACGGTAATTAAATAATCTATATTCAAATACCAGTATCCTCTTCAACTACCAGAAAAACAATTCAACTACTTGAGGCCTAAACAGATTAATAGAATCGTATTATATACTGTAGTATCAAAAATATTTTAAGTATTGCGACCATTGCAACTGTCGGCTACTCTTTCACCACTTGAAAACTCCCATAATCATCAAGCGCAGATAGCTCAGGAGGTAAGGTTAAGAGGCTCATGAGGCGAAGGTATCAGGTTCGAGACCCGTCTGGGCCAAAAACTTTTTTCTCGTTTTTTTCTTCAAAATTTGTGTTTATTAACTATTTAATCAATTTACTAAACTTATAATTAAGCTTTTCATACTAAATCTACATTATTTTGTGTTTTTTATGTTCAGGCCCAGACCACACTTTATCCCAGGGACATCCCATAGTAGTCCCATATGTTCTGAGTAGTGAGAATGTCCTGAGGACTACCCTGGGATGACCTCGGATGTCCCACGGATATGCTGTGAGCTTATCCGTAGGACATCCCCGGGCGGGGACATTACGCATTCCTGTGGATATCCTGGGATATCCCAGGTTGACCATAGGACCACTATGGGATATCTTGCATATCCTGTCGCAATATCCATGGGATGTCCTGAAGAGAAAGTGTGCTGTCTGGGCATATACATTTTGCCATATAACATCGTAATTTAGAGGACTGCCTCAATCATACTTATACTGATAATTCTACACATTGTATATTTCCATTAGAATACCTCAAATTTGATGTAATGGGCTTAGGAAAAAGATTGTGCACTTTTTCCTGACGCGAGTTCATATCAACCATATACATTTTGCCATATAACTTCGTAATTTGGGGGACTGCCTCAATCATACTTATACTGATAATTCTACACGTTGTATATTACCATTAGAATACCACAAAGTTGATGTGATGGGCTTAGGAAAAAGATTGTGCACGTTTTCCTGACGCGAGTTCCTATCAACCATTATACATTTTGCCATATAACTTCGTAGTTTAGGGGACTGCCTCAATCATACTTATACTGATTATTCTACACATTGTATATTACCATTAGAATACCTCAAATTTGATGTGATGGGCTTAGGGTGAACATTGTGCACTTTTTCCCGATGCAAGATCCTATCAACCATATACATTTTGCCATATTACTTCGTAATTAAGATGACTGCCTCAATCATACTCACACTGATTATTCCACACATTGTATATTGTCATTAGAATACCTCAAATTCGATGAGATGGGCTTAGGAAAAAGTTTGTGCACTTTTTCCTGACGCAATTTCCTACCAACCATATAGATTTTGCCTTATAGCTTCGTAATTTACTGGACTGCCTCCCATCATACTCATACTGATTATTCTACACATTGTATATTGCCATTAGAATACC